AATCATAAAATTTTCTGGAGACATCCAGGTTACTGTCTGAAGCTAGCCCTTAGGCAGCTAATTTAAAATGTGTGCATGTATACCTTGCTTTAATAAGAAAACATACATTAAAAAGGTGAATTTTAACAGTTTTGCTATAAAATTACTTCTGAGAGATTTACGTCAGTATCAGGAATTACTGCATTACCTAAAAATTTAACTTTGAAGTTAACTATTAAAACCACTGAGCAACAATAAAAACGTGTGGGAATATTTACTTATGCTCAGGGTGCTCTCGGTCCCAAGTTTTCAAAAAGGAAAGCCCTGGCAGTATGGAGCATTTATTTACAGTACCTGCCTCGATAAAACACCAGCCCCTATTTGATTTGAAAATTCCCTTGGAAGGACCATCTGGAAAAGAAAGGGGGATCACTGCAAACAAACCCACTGCTCACTGCAAGAAGCATGACAAACTTGGCAAAAGAGGCCAAAATAAATAAATAAATAACAAAATTCTGCCAAGACAAAGAATGACTTATTAAATGTACAATATTTAAAACATACGTTGAAGGTCAGCTCTAAGATATACCTAAAAGTATTAATATATATTATATATTTATTTTATATATATATATGCCTAAAAGTATGTTACAGAGAAATATAAACATATTTTTTCAAAATTTCTGTAGAAGTAACTTCCAAATTTAGTAGGTTTCCCTTTATTGAATTTATGATGGTGTAATTTCTTTCTATCTTGCATTACAGAAAGTAACTTGGATTTTCACCAAAATACCCTTTCCCATTAAAAGATGAGAGAGCTGAAGAATCGACTGTTCTCAATAAAACATCAGGGCCTTCGAAAAGCCAACCTGGGCTCGCTGGTTTTAATGACAATTCAGGAGGAACCATCCCTCAATCTGGACTGCAGACTGCTCTAGGAAGGAGAATGATGCAACACAACTCTGCTCCTTCTCTGTCTTCGAATAATCTCAGTGAAAACATGAGGAACGACACGGTTCGAAGACAAACCATTCAGAGAAGCACTGGGCAAGCCCCGCCACGCCATACGTTATATGCTGCAGTGTAATTAAACAGACGCATAAATTCTGACGTTTGGACAGCGAGGCCTGGTTCTGCACAGGGATACATCACGAGCCCCAGCATTATGCAGCTGAGAAAGCTCTCGAGGACATGGCTTGCAGCTGGAGATGGCACATGGGATTAAACGTGGCTATCAGTTTATTGCACAATATAAAATTTGATCGAGCTACCCGAATTTTCCACGTCCTCTTTAAAATACTCGAGGAACAGATGTAAGCCTCACCCTCGCTTCCTAACCTTGCATAAACAGTTTCCCCTTTATTAACGCTGGATTTCTCCACTATACTGCTGCACCCTTCCATGTGATTACCAGGAAAAAAACCTGGGGACTCGTAATGCATAATTCTGGTTTCTGTCACGTGCTGAAATAAATAGCACGAATCAATAAGTGCCAGCTCAGTTTATGGATGAGGAAACCCAGCGTTCATGCTAAGACCGCTACACGTGCATTAAAACCACTCATAAATCCCAAACTGTCTTCTACTACACAGCTTCAAGCTTTTTGAAACATGCAGTTTTTGAAATGTGAAATTTCAGTGTGCAGACACTTGGTAGCAAGGACAGAGGCTGATCTTTTTGCACCAGGGTTGGGTGTGAGGCAGGCTTTGAGCCTCCGTAGCACTTCGGTCACGTTGAAGCAGCTACACGAGCTGAGCTTGGAGCATGGCAGAAGGCACAACCTTCCTGCAGACATGCCCTGAGAAACAGGGGTTTAAGTCCAGAGCCAGAATGGAAATAAAATCTGGGAAAGTAAGTGACATGTGGGAACTCTGGTGCTGTGCAAGGATGGATAATGAAATAGAAACTAGCTGATATTGGAAATTACTTGGATGAGGGAGAAAGAAAATGAAGACAAGATGGTCATATATAAGACGGAGAGGCAGGACAAGAGATGTACGAGGAGTAAAACGTGTAAAAATGGCTCAGTAGGAAAACAGAATTGGAAACCAAAAGGAATGGAGAAAAGAAAGAGGAAAAGAAAGAAGGATGCGAAAGAAGGATGCTAAGGCTCACTATCCTTTCAATTCCTACACTTCTGATGAAGAATCGTTGTTCTTGCTCTCTCCTCAATGAAAGAATCTTCAAGGACTGAGAACCCCACTCCTAGAGCCACTGGGAAGAGTCCATAAACCCCAGCAGCCCACCAGAAGAGTTGGCAAGGAAAGCTCCTAGACCTGAAAATGTTTCTGCAACATCTGGGCGTCACGGGCTGGGTTTTGTCAGACTCTAAGAGAAAACCTGTTGCTAAAGAATACAGTAACAAACAAAGGCAAGTTCCTCATTGTATCCTCATAGCAAGGTTTGAAATTTGTTCAGTACAGATGAGGAACCACACGGAACAATTAAACCACCAGACAGCCACACACTGATGAAATGCCAGCTACTTAATGCATGGATTCCCTTTTGTAGGGAAAAATAGCATGTTATCATGTAATTAAAGACTGCGGGATGATGTGTAAGGTACGAGTGGGTGAACCAAGGTCACCAAGGTTTTGAAGTATTAGCCTGCAAGCACAGTAATGCGCATTAAACAGAGAGCCCCTACACGTAAAAATAGATCAAATGGAACAGAAACGGTGTCTGCACGTACCTGCACAGCTGTGACCAGGTTAGTACTGGTAGGTAAAAGGTAAAAAGAGTGCCAAATTAAAGCTAAGATGCTTAGAATAAGAGCTATTTTTTTGTATGTGTTTTTATTATTATTATTTTTTTATTTTGTAGCTTTTGAAGCTTTCTGAGACAGCTTTTCGAAGCTTTCTGAGGTTTATCCGCATGTACATATTAAAACTTCAGGGAAATAACGAGTAAAACATTAACCTTACAGACATACTTTCCCTGTCCCAGTTTTTCACATGCAAAAACTATTTCTTAACCCAAATGTGAACATGGACAATTGTTCTGCTGTATCTCTACCAAATGTCACAGTTCCCCAGTTTACAACAACTGAAATCCTACTGAAAGGCTATTCTTGAAGGAAACAGCAGCAACAAACCACAAAATTTAACTTCAGCATGGCAGAGGTATAAATGACCTCTCAGCTCAGTGCTGTTTATCTTGTAAATGAAAATGGTCTTCCATTCTGGGGTTAAAAGAGAAAAAAAAGAGAACTGCCTTCATTTCTTTCTTAATTTGAGCCTGGCTCTAACAAACAGCCACTGTTTGTTTCCTTATTTTAGGTCATGTCATTCAGTTATGCATGCCACACTTTTTAACTCTTTCCCATCTGCTGATCTCTTCCAGCATCATCTGGGAGCTGGGAAAACCTCGGATGAGGCAAAACCTGGTGGAAGCTGGGCTGCTGGTGCCCACAGCACGTGGTGCCATAGGTGAGTCCCACGCTGCTTTAGTGCCCTGCAGTTAAACGTGGGCTGAAAAACCACCCGTTAAGGGAAAAAAACAACAAAAGAAACAAAAAGGGGGCGGTTCATACGAAACCTCTGACTTATGTAAGATGAGACTCAGGAGGAAGTAAAGCACAAATACACTGCACACGCTACAGCAACGGGGGACTTTATTCTGGTACCGGGGCAGTGAGACGTGTCTCTGCCCCTGGGTCCCAGCCCTGAACCTCTCAGCCAGCTCCGAGCATTCCCTGTTCATTCTGCTTGAAAAATAATAATAAAGATCTGCAGAACGAGCTCTTCCTCAGCAGATCGCGGCTGCCCAGACACACATAAAGGAAAAAAATCAGTTCTGAATACCGAACAAACTTTGCACCATGTAGCTTTGTTTTTGCTGTACAGCATCACACGGTGTCGTGCTGCAGGTGAAGAGTATCACTGGGGCCACAGCACCCTACCAGCACCAAGTTTTATTCTTCAGATAAATAAAAATTAAAAAAAGCCATTCAAAGTTCAGACTTGGAGAACTGAGTAAGAACTAAGTTCGTGAGCTCATCCCATCCTCCTATTCAAGAGGATTTCCCACACTTCGCTTTGAAAGTCTAAGATGAAGTCGCTGCATTCATGAGTTCAAAAAGGGAGCTGTACCCTCATTTTGGACTTGTCTACTAAAACAAAAAAAAGGCAAATATGTAAATTTCAAGTGAATTAAAGTGCCCCATTAGGAGTTCAATTATATTCTGAAATTACATCTTAATTGGTTTGCTCATAGCTGAGCTGTACAGCTAACCAAAAATCTACTACCATATAATGATCCCTAAATTTCAGATATTGCCACACATTAAATTAACAGCAGATAATGACTGGGAAAATTAGCTCTATTTCCATAACAGAAATATTCTTCCCACATTACCTAAGTGTCGGATATAGTTGGTTTCATAACAAATAGACAAAATAATAGACAGGGAACTCTTCTGAGTAGCTGGCATCTCTTTTGGTGATCAGAAGTCCACAGACTCAAAAAGCACGCTACAAGTTCAGCGGGCACCAGATTCGTGTCTCTAATTAACTAATATCTAAAAGAAATTCTATCTCTAAAATCCCACAGAAAACTTTAACAGATTGACCACTATTTTACTGAGTGCCTTGCTGGCTTTTTCACCCTGCTTAACTCTCATTTTTTGAGAAGTAATCCCCACCCTGAAATACTCTTCAGATTTCGACGTATGAGGCATTCCTGGCCACGATCAGCATCACACACAGATACTGCAAATGATCTGCAGGTACCAAAAAGACTCTTGCTAAAGAAAGAATAAGGAATAACTTGAATAATATTAAATGCACAACAAGCAGGCTAAGAATTCACATTCTTGTAGCTGAACAGAGGAAAAAACATGAGCACCTTTCACATAACTTGGTTTTCACATTAGCAGGCTAAATAAACTCCCTAAAAAACATTAACTTTTGGAAGCGAAGCCAGGCTCCTGTACGCCAGCTGCTGTTAATTTATCTTTTTTATGAGTACAAGAAGTATAGAACTTATTATATACAACTACAAAATATAGATGTTTTACTTACCTTTGCTGTCTGAAGGAAACAGATTTCAAAGATCTTGTCTGTAAATGAGAGATTCTTCAATATTTATACCTCCAATGACCACCATCGTCAATAAGGATCTGAAGGGAAACACCACAAAACAGCACATAAGCCAGGGTAGTTGCAACTAGAGTTAGATTTTTAGCATTCACTCATTGGGAAGGCAGGAGCTGCGATACGTACTGCATGCAAGACATGAATTTACCAGGTGCTGCTAAAAGCAACCCCCAGGATAACCATTCTGTATGAAGGCGTCTAGCTACATTACTATCGCAATGACTCCACGTTAATAGATTTAAGGTTAAATACATCAAACTTAAGGAATTCACTGTTTTGATACGAAAGTAACGACTGCCAGTAATCACACCCTGCGTGAAAGATTACAAAAGAGAAGTTCTGCTGTGACGCGAGACCAAGTTTGATACCCACTGCAAGTCAACACTCCCAGCCCCGGCGCAAACAAACTCGAGCCCTGATGGTGTCCGTGGAAGCACCGCGTGCCATGACACTGCTGAAACCCTTCAGTCTTCATTTAGCCACAGATGCCATTAACTAGAAGGCTAATCAAGTCAAAAAGCTTTTGCCTTGTAAATAATTTTATCCTCTCCTGAGCGGCTTCCATTTGGGTTTCCTTTCTCAGGAATCCCACGGCGGGCAAAGGCAAAGGAGAGACTTTGGCTGACTCCAGCTAGGGCAAGAGCAGAGCAACAACAAAACTCAACACAGGCAACTCATTCATCTTGATTTTGTTTTTTTAATGTGATTGATCTGTTTACTCATTTCTCTCTTTGCAAGCCTGGACCATGCAAGTGTCAGCAGCCAGGACACGTGGGCGAGGTGATCGGATCACTCAGCACTCTCCACGGAGCAGCCAGGCTGCCAGAGCCAAAGTGGCCAACGCCTCGAATATCAAAAAGACCAGAGTTTACCTTTCTCAATGGATAAAGAATTTCACCTCAGCTTCACGGTAACGCTTTATCTGAATTGACCATGTTTGTTTCTCCTGACGTAAATCCAACCCCCAACGCCCATCAGCTCTGAACAAACACCTTCCAGATCGACTTCCTCAAAACAAGTTACCAAATTCTTACACTGACATTCTCTCTCTCTCCTTTTTCTATTCCTCCAAAATTTAAAATAGAATTTATATAAATATATATGAGAAAAATAACCGATAGATCAGTCCCTGGAATAAATTGTAGAGGCCACCAGGATTACGCTAGCTCTTTTTTTTCTAATGAAGAATATGAAAAAGAAATTGGATGTACGCTGCGCCTTGATGCTTGCCAAGCTCTGAGCTGATGGATTGCTCTGGGGGAAGCTCCAGATAGAAAATCACCTTCTCAGGGCATTGCAAAGTGGCTGTGCAGGAACCGAGAGCGACCCTGCCCCAGCACACTGCCACCACGCAGCCAGCTACTGCCTACCGTAGGGTTGAGAGGCAGGAGAGGAATGGGAAAAAGCATTTCCAAGAACCTAAGGTTATTGAAGGGCCCTGAGGGGCAGTGCAGCAGGCTGTGTGATGAGCCAGCAGACCCCAGCCCTGGGGACAGCCTGCTCCTGACACTCACTGTGGGCTCCAACACCATCAGCAGCTTCTACAAGCTAGGAGGGGTACGCATGCCAAAAGGAAACCCATCAAGAGATCAGTTTAACAGGCTCCCAATGGAAGATGCTGCTCGGCGGGTCGGGAGTAGGAAGCCTACCTTCTGACAGTCGTGCATGGGGCCACAAGCTGCACTGTGGACTCAAAAAACATGTTTTGAAGGGAGAAAACACACCAGGGGAGCAGCTGCGGGGAAGCAAATGCAACCTCTCCTTGCGCCGCTTTACAAAACCATTTTTCAGAGCGGTTCAGAACCCGTGAGTTGTTTTCCCTAAAAGGGACTTTGCGCATCTAGTTGAGTGTTGAGGCTTTCTATCAATTGCCCATTAAACTTAGCCTCCAATTTCCTTAAGTTGAACCATAGCCAAAGCTCCAGAGAATTTTTAAACGCCACTGAAAAGATTTTTTTTTTTGCCTGCCGAGTAGCTCATTCTCACTTTGCTGTTCGTATTAATAGATGCTCCTTTCTCCTTTTTCTTCTTGGCACTGAACTGCACAACCGAAATCCAGACCCTTAAACTCCACTCCCATTGCAGATGTTACTCCTGCTCTGATTTAATCGTCTTTCTCTCCTCCAAAGCTGCAATAATTGTGAAGATATCATTAATTTTGTTCTAATAACCTCGTAGCCTTCTGCAAGGAGTTGGAGCGCTGCGTTAAAGGGAAAAAGTTTCTTCTGTGCTGAATCGTGTTTCAGGGGAAGCTTGTAAATCTCCTTGGGGCCTGCTCGTTTCACTGCACAGTACCCAACACTGAGTTATTTTTTCCTTCATGTGATTTTATCATCATCTCAGCAGCCAGGAGGAGTCAATATAATCTCATCTCCCATTACGTGAATTTACCGATGAAATTAAAATATTGTTTCTTCTTACCAGCACCTTATCTTATTGACAATATCCGATCCACGTATGCCATTCGATGCTGACACGAGGGAGACGCCGTTACGTGGCACTGGAAATAGAGGGACGCTCACAAACTCGACTCAGAGCAGGCATTTTCCATCTTAAGGGAATTTGGCATTATCCTTCCCTTCGGTTCTCTAGCACCTTGCTTTGAATGTTGTTCCTCTAAATATCCTGGAGTATGAAGATTTGGTTCCACACGACTCTGCACACTAGTCTGGTGCCAACCCACAAAACATATGGCTCTGCTCAAATGCAAGAAGCTGTTTTCATTTTTTTTTCCTTTTTTTTTTTTTTTTTTTTTTACATTTCTTCCTGGACTGGAGACAAAGCATTTTCTTTTATTTAGATACAACTCAACATTTACATTCTTCTGAGACGCGAAACTTTCTAAATCCCCGAATATATTTTGTTAACTTATTCCCAAACAGCAACTTGAAAGAAGCAAAACCATCTCAACACATCGGAATAAACAAAGCAAATGCCCATCAATCACTGGGAAATATAATAAATTGCGTTTAGATATTTTTTGTGTTTGTGGGTGCTATTAAGCCTTAAAACCCTCAGATTTATTTTTAACCTAAGGATTTTATTGCACAGCTATGTGAAAACATCAATATGTTTTTCTAACGTCGTTAGCTTTCCATTTGTTCCCACCGTAAATAGTTCCTGCGCTCTATTTCTGTGTTATTTGGGATCAGGTACATTTTCCGCTATAAATACTGTTGAGGCAGAATAAAGTGTTGTTCAAACATTTCACAAAGTAGCTCAAACTCTGGGCGTTATAGGAGCAGACCACCCTGATCCCTCGGCTGGATTTCGGCCCTGTCCTGAGCTCCAAGGAGGAAATCTCGCTGCTCTTGGGCTCGTGCTACCCATCCGCATCCACCCCGCGCCGGGAGTTTGCTTTTAATTAGAGTATCACAAAAGCAAACAAAAGACACTGTAACCTCAGGAATTAAATATTTGCATTTGCTTCAGCAAATTAGCTTCTTGAAAGAGCCAAATTCGGCACCGGCATAACTCAAAAGTAACTTTGATGAAGTTACATGCGTTACTTCAAATTACACGGCTGAAAAACACGCTTGAGCTTCACACAGATGTTGAGGCACTAAAAGAAAGCCAGCAGCTAGAACAGGTGCAGAGCTTCAGCCCATTTGCTTTTAGGTAAGGGAATAAGAGCAAGAGGCACTGCTACAGGAACGCTCCAAAGGCTGGCGGTCTCCATCAGGCACTTGCCTGGGGGAGGTTCTTGGTACTTGTAAGAAAAAACGTGCGCTACGACAAAGATTATTTCACCCCAAGATAAATGTACACAGATAACATTAGAAACTGGTATGTATGATATCCTTGTGTAGTCATATGCAAGTAACTGAAGTCTTTTCTTATATTCTTTTTTTTTGGTCACTTTTTTTTTTTAAAGTGACAAATTTAAGGACTGGTAGAGTTGAAATGCACGGAGCAGGTCTTTGTTTGTCACAGTTAAATTCTCCTCCTGGTTTAGAAGACACAACACGATTGAATTCAGTTGCAAAGGCATGCCGACTGGAAAAAAATTAGGGGAAAATCATCAGATTTTCTTTGCTGTTTCACAACGATGCAAAAACACAGCTTTGGTGTTTTTTAAAATTAATAGATTAAAGCAAGAAATAAATAAACGAGGCCATCAGCTAACTGATGACTGCTCCAATACTTTCTCAAGAACGAGCTTTGCCCTGCTTTTAACCATTCTTTACCATTTTATTGACACCGATATAACTTCCTGATCAGCTTTAGGAAAAAAGAAAACTGTTTCAAGTGGAAGTTCAAGAGCCTCCCGAACCCGCCAGCAGCGCGCTGCAGGAGGGAGCAGAGGTAAATCCTCCGCTGAGACCGCCTGATGTGCGGCCGTGCCCTGGAGGCCAGCAAGGCCCCAGGCTGTGTGTGCATCTCTGGAAACTATAAAAATACGAAGATCCAAAAACTTGTACGCTAAGTCAGGAGAACCAGGGCTCTGCTCTTAGAAGCCACCTCTGAAGGAGCCGAACGCTTTCATGTTGCTTGTGCAATCGTATCAAATCCTGCTTGTAAGAAGTGCAGTAAAAAACCATGGGCCTTTGGCCTGAATTGTGGACTTGACCAGAATCCCCAGAGGCTGCCGGACGCCGAGTAACACGTCCCAAGGAGGACAGCTCCGAGAGCTATCGGGACCCAGCCCCCTTGGTTTTTGTTGCGCAGGAAGGCTGCAGCTGCAGAACCCTGCAAGGCTTACGTCTACTCTGATACAGGGGGAAAATATCCGAGCTGAAAAATATTTATTTTAAAATGGAACTGTTTTAAAAAGCAGGCGCTGAATGCATGGAAGTGAACCCAGCAGCAGACGTTTTCGAGGCAGCCTTTCACCTTGCAGCTGCCCTCACCCGCGGGGCTCCGGTGGGCTCGGGCTCTCCCCTCGTGCCAGCCCCCGGCTCCCAGCAATTGTTTTTTTGTTTTTTCAAGCTCTGAAAATGAGCAGGGTTTATTAAATATACAGTGTATTTGTAATTAAGCAACCATTGTTGAAGTAATGAGATCCATGAGATCTATTCACATT